TGATCAATGAAAAGCCAGTTACTCAGCTCTCATGGGTAGTGCTCAAAAAACAATGGTATTAAGGGGCATTTTAAACTTGTTTAGTGTATTTATATACACTAAATTTGTGATTGAAACGAAAGCCTTTAATGACAGATTTATATAGTTAATTGACAGAAACTCTTGGAACAGGTACTTTAATTGCAAAGGATCAACTATGTTCTCTAATCCTAAATCACTCTTAAAGTCTTAATTTGCCTTATGAAAAAAATGAACTTTTTCCCTTTCTCAGGACTTGTGAAAGATGCTTTTGTTGCTGTAATTAAGCATAAAATAAGCACATCACATTTCATGGGTTGTTTCCTAGCCCAAGGCCACTGGAATTGGGGGACTCATGGCTGACTTGTGCCGGCTGCTTCTGCTGTGGTTATGACCACAGTTTCAAGTGCAAAATAGCTAAAGGGATAATTCTAGGGATAAAGGAAACAAAACAAAACAAAACAGCCAGGATAATACCCTGGCGGCACACAGCTTACTACCGCTCTATTTTGGGGTCGTGTCCAATTTTCTATTGCTAACTTTATTATGTACAGAGCCCTCCAATAGCTCCTAGAACTTGCAGTGTAGCATACCTCACTTTAAGCAACAGATAAACTTCCGAAGAGTGGAGGGTAAATTTTATCAAATCACAGATGACATGTCCTAATCGACATGCTTCTAGAACATGTTAATTTTTAAGAGGGAAAAAGCAGACTAATTTTCTAATAAGAATAACCCCGTCTTTTCTTCAGAGTGAGCATGGTCATAGGTGGAGTGAGCTAACTACAGCTTTTTTCCCTAGTCCCAGCCAGCACTATTTACAGTTGTCTTTCTAGAGCCGGAACTTTTCTGAACAGATGTGACACTGCCCAGATGCTTGTTCTGGAAATCGCCGCCCTTCTGTGTTTTCTCTGCCTCTGGCTTCGTTTTGTGAAAATCCGGCCTCTGCCCTTGCAGTCTTAGTTTCGGTTGAAAGTGCAGTAGTTTTCACAATTCAACACAGCCAGGCACAGCGAAACATAAAGGGCTTTGGAAGAGAGTGAAAATGGGAAGAAAGTAAAAACGGGCGTGTGTACACGAGGGGGAAGCGGGGAAGAGGGGACAAGTGCGTGTGTTCTGGCGGTGCTGGTGCAGAGAAGATCTGTTCATCGGGATGCTAAAGGGACAACATAAAAATTCGATAACCTCTGTGCTGGGCAAAGCGGCCAGGGTCACGACAGGCACAGGCAAGGCGTCCGGGGCCGTGGGGCAGCCGCGGGCAGCCGCGCACCCGGAGGGGACCGCA